CCCTCCTCGTGATTTGTGAAGCAGGCTTGGCGCTGAACCTATTCTGCTTCCACAAAGACAAAGACAGATGGAAACCCTGCACTGCAGATATCCTGAGTCCATTAGCTTGGACTGAGGCAGGAGACTTATGGCTCCGGCAGTCTGCGAAAGTGGCAGTTTTCTCATCTGGAAAATGAAAGACTTGGACTGGATAATCTTCCCTCCAGCGCTAACATTCTGTGTGTCTTTGATTTTACATCAAAATGGTGTTTTCTTAATCAGCTCTCTGCTGCTTCCTTTCAGGGATCATTTTTCTTCCCATTGCAGAGGCAGGCATGAATTTCCAATCAGCCGCTGCATAGGGCTGTTTAATCTTTGCTGCTAATCGGCAGGCAAAACACACCCCAGGTCTCAGATCTGGAACCAGCTTCTCTCCAAGACAGTTAGAAAAGACTGCCTTTGCAAATTGCTTGTTGAGGAAGTTTGAGTATGAAAATGACTGATGGAGTATTAATGTCAAATGTGATTCATTAATTATCAAAAGTAGGTTGCATACCATATAGTTTAACAACTCTGTTTGGAACACAGATGCAATGTACACAGTTACATAAAGATGTATAAATGGATATATACACATAGATTATGTGTGCATATTTATTTACACACACACACGCACGCATGCATGCACACACACAGACACACACACATGCATGCGCATGCACACACGCACGCACACACACATTACAGGCACAGGACTGGCACTCCCCAGCTATCTGATACTATTTGTCTCTGCCAGGGAAAGTCCGTATCACCAAATACTTTCCCTTCTCAGCATCAATAATCTCAAATTAGTATCTTAGAACTTAATTCTATTTGTCGAATACAGATTTCTACCCAAATTCAGATAATCCTAAGAGGGTCACACTTCAAATCATCCTCAGTTCATTATACCTTAGTGTGAATTAACTTTGTATTTCTTTTTAAAGAGCGGATTAAAATAATGGAAGATTTGGGAAGAAGAGAAAGTAAAATGGCCCCAAAATTCTGATGGGATGAAAAAGGGATTAAAGTGTGTATGTGTGTGTGTGTGTTTGTGTGTGTGTGTGTGCATTAGAAGGTGGGCTGCAGAAAAATAAACTTTGGTTTGGGCTCCTTCATTACTTCAGAATTAATGAGCATTATGCAAATGGCCTCTTTAAACTAAATTATTTCCCCCCTTTGGATAGGGGGACAATAGTTTATTTATTTTTATAAGTAAGAATACATCCACAAGGCACTAAATTTAAAAGTTCGAAGAGGGCATTCAAGGACAAGGAAATCAATGGCCTAGTTCCCTGACCCCAGTTCTTAGAGACCACCACTGTAACCAGTCTCTTGTTCTAGGTGTTTATAAATATATACACATATGATAGCATATTATACACACTGTTCAGGTTCCTGCCTCTCTCTCTCTCTCAATACTATATCTTGAGATTCTTCCATATCAGTACACACAGAAGTGCCCCCTTCTTTGCAATGGCTCTGTAGTATTAGATTGTATGGATGTACCATAATTTACATACACTGAGGTTGTTTGTAATCCTTAGCCATCAATAACAATGCTGTAGTGTAGTGCATGTGATAGTGTATGTTTTTGTCCATAGGCCAGGCGGCCAGGATTCATAACTCCTGGAACTTCATACCCTTCAGAAAAAGTTTCACATTTCACACTTGAGTGATTATACTTGTAGGATAAATACCCAGAAGGAGCACATACGTAGTGTTTTTCACTGAAATGAGAGAATTTAATACTTGATCCCCTGGTCTTCATCCTCTGAGTGCCCCCAGATGCTCAGAAATATCACAATATTCTAGATTTATTCTGACCTCATTCTAATCAGGGAAGAATACAACTTTACTTCACTTGTTCTGGGCCCTGCACTTTCATTTATGAAACTTATGATTGTATTAACTTTTTTGGCAGCTCCATCCCCCTGTTGGCTCATTTTGAGATTACTGTCAACTCAAATCCACAGGCCTTTCCTCAAATAAATTACTATTAAATCATATTCTGCTTACCTAGTATGTATATAGTGGAATTTTTGTAACCTGAAAGCAAACTTCAGATTTATCCATGTTAAGCTGTATTTTGAGCCATGGCTGGGTAACTAGTAGGTTAGAGCATCATCCCAATATGCAGGTTCAATCCCTGGTCTAGGCACATACAAGAATCAACCAATGTATGCATAAATAAATGGAACAAATCAATGTTCTTCTCTCTCTCCCTGTTTCTCTCTCTCTCTCTCTCTCTCTCTCTCTCTCTCTCTCATCAATAAAAAAAAAAATTTAAAAATATATTTTGTTGCTTCAGCCCTAGACTCTCCTCTCTGCTGTTGAGCTGTCTCTGAATCCTCATCTCACCATCTATATTTCATCTTTCTGTACCTATTTTCAGTCCCCACTCATAGTGAGCTTAATGCCATGGCTCTAAGTATTGAAATTGAAAGAAGGTTCATGAAGTTATTGTTATAGCTTGTCAAATATGGCAATGTTGGAGCCTTAGATAAAAAGAACTAGCCCAGTGTTCAGAAGTCAGAGGTCAGAGGGGAAAAGGAGAGAGAAAAAGAGAGAGAGAGAGAGAGAGAGAGAGAGAGAGAGAGAGAGAGAGAGAGAGAAAACATCCCAACTAATGGGAAAAATTTATCTAAGATCTCACTTCTAGGAACAACTGTGCTCCTCCTGACCAGTTAATTTGTGTATAGTTTGTGGGCATAATTAACTGCATAGCATAGGTTTTCCTGTTTATTTCCTTCCAGGAAGTTCAAAGGCAAACTTGCAATGCAGTTCTAGTGTGTAGATATGGTGTGAATTTTGTGTACCTATCTTACCCTTGACCTCTTTTTATGTTCTTACCTTATTTTTTTGCACTTATTTTCTAGGTTATTAAAAATTTTAGTGTAAAATTTGTGAGTTGCCTTAAATTCTTCTTTGGAAAAAGGTATTGTGTAAACTGACAAACAGGAAAATAAAATCTCAGTGTGACAAATTTTGTAAAAACATCAAATACTTTCACACCTTAGATTGACAACAATAGCCACCACTATTTGGAAAAGAGCTGTGATGGAATAAAGCTTTTAAGCTTGTAATTAAATCTTTGACATCATTCAAATGATTGGGATCTTAAAAATTCTTAAATACTAGGGGCCCAGTGCATGAATTCATGCACCTTGCAAGGAACTGTGGGCCATGAGGCTGCAGTGGGCACAGGGGTGGGTCTCGGCCCATCCTTCTTGCCCTGCCACTGCCCGGGTCTCCTGTTTGCCAACAGACTGCTCCTGCTGCTGCCACTCCCATGCGCTGACAGTGCCAGCCCCACTCATACCCGCTAATGGCATAGAGTGATTGGGGCTGATGCTAGCAGTGGATGCGAGCGTGGCCGACGCCATCAGTGGGTGCAAGCTGTGGCTGGGCCCTGATCGCCCCTCAGGAGCAGGGGGAGGTGGAAAAGCCCTGAGGGGCGATCAGGGGCCAGCAGCCACTGTTCACACCCACTGATGGTGCCAAGCGATTGGGGCTGGCGCTAGGCGCCAGCAGCAGGTGCGAACGGTGGCTCCAGTGCCAGCAGCAGGTGTGAGAGGAGCCAGCGCTGGCAGCAGGTGCAAGCGCCCGGCGGCACCATGGTGCACAGGAGCAAAGAATTTTCAGTAACCACCAGAGGCTCGCCCCAATGACAGTGACCTGCGCCCCACCTTGGTCTGGCACTCCCACTCACCTGTTGACCATCCTGCCGCAGCCGATGCCCGCCATGTTCCACGCTCTGCAGCCTGCTGCCAACACCCACAATGTTCACATGTACCTCCTGTGGTCAGAGCACATCATAGCGACTGGTTGTTCAGTTGTTCCACCGTTCGGTCTATTTGCATATTAGGGCTTTTTATATTATATATAGATGAGTCTTGTGTAATTTACCATCCTATATAATAAAAGGCTAAATCCTATATGATAAAAGGCTAATATGCATATAGACTGAGCAGCAGAACAACCGAACAACCAAACAACTGGTCGCTATGATGTGCACTGACCACCAGGAGGCGTACACAGAACTTGACAGGTGTTGGCAGCAGGCAGCAGAGCGCGGAACATAGTGGGCATCGGCTGCAGCAGGATGTTAGAGCAGGTGAGTGGGGGCGCCAGACCAAGGCGGGGTGCTGGTCGCCATCATCGGAGCCAGCCTCTGGTGGTTACTGAAAATTCTTTGCTCCTGTGTGCCACAGTCCCACCCAGTGCTCGCACCTGCTGCAGGCACCAAGCCCACTCACACCTCACACCCGCTGCCAGCACCCGGCGCCGGCCCCGATCACTCAGCGCCATCAGTGGATGCGAGCCTCAGCTACCAGCCCTGATTACCCCTGAGGGCTTCTCCACCTCCCCATGCTCCTGAGGGGTGATTGGAGCTGGTAGCTGCTGCTCGCACCCGCTGCTGGTGCCTGTCCCAATTGCTCTGCACCATCAGCAGGTACAAGTGGGGCCAGCACTATCCGCGCATGGGAGCAGACGCAGTGGGAGCAGGGCTGCCAGCAGACAGGAGACTGGTAGCCGCAGTGGGAGAGGCGAGGCAGGGTCATGGAGGATGGGCTGAGACCCGCCCCTGTGCCCACTGCAGCCTCACAGCCCACAGGTCCTTTCAAGGTGCATGAATTCGTGCACTAGGCCCCTAGTATAAAATAAAATGCAATCACAAAAATGAAGGTCTCAAACTCAAATGCCTGGGAGCGCTAGGAAGGTAAAGTAAGTAAAAGAACAAAATAATAGAGGCTGGTAGAAATAGTAATAACTCAAGAGCACCTGTCCCCCTTTGTACATCCAAATATGACACTTAACTAAGCATTTGTAGACCCATTAGTTACTAGTTTACAACTTCTGAATCATCTCCCTGCCCCAATTTTATAAATGTGACCAAAGTAAAATACTCTAAAAATCCTCATAAAACATGGGGAAATCCTAGGCCAAGAAGCTAAACTTTCTTCCCCTTTCTTTTTCAGGTTATTGGTTGCCTAGTTATAAGTTAAAGTCTTCTTGGGCAACAGGCCTGCATCTCTCTGTCTTGTTTGGTCACGTGGAATGTCTTTTGGTACTACTGGACCACAATGCTACAATCAACTGTAGACCCAATGGGAAAACTCCTCTTCATGTGGCTTGTGAAATGGCCAACTTGGATTGTGTTAAGATCCTTTGTGACCATGGAGCCAAGCTCAATAGCTACTCCTTAAGTGGACACACAGCTTTACACTTTTGTACAACTCCAAGCTCCATTCTCTGTGCCAAGCAATTGGTTTGGAGAGGTAAGCCTTTCTGGGTGGCTGACATTGTCATCTATTTGCACATTCATGGATTTGAAACTTGGTGATCCTGTCTTATCTCAGACAATGTAGTAGGTATATCCATACATTAAGTGTAAGTTAGGGGCCCCTAAAAATACATAGACAGACAGACAGACAGACAGATGGATAATGTTATGTTGGTGCTGGACATTCAGTGATTATCTCATTGGAATCTTTTTTTTTTTTTAATTGTTGGAGGCTTGTTAACTTACACAAGTATTTATTTAGCTCCTATGATGTATCAGGTAATGTGCTAAGTAAATGAAAAATAAAAAATAGTTTCTACCTTTAAGGAGCTTATATTCTAGTAGGTGAGATAAATGTTATAAAAATAAATTCATAAATATAAAATTATCAATTGGGAAAAGAGCAAAATAGGCACTTTGAAAGAGAATGTCATGCAGGAACTATTACAAAATGTTTAAGACTTTTCTAAAGATATTATATGTAAGCTGAACCTTTATCATGAGAAATAGCTAGCCATTAAAAGGAAATGGATCCAAGAAGAAGAGTCTAGGTCTGGAAAATAGTACAAAGTGTATAGTGTAAAGTTTCTAGGAGAGCAAAAAACTTGGAATATTCAACAAATGTAAGAAGGCCAGTGAGACTAGAGTATCATGGTTATGGGGTTGGGGTGGGAGGACAAGAGGGTAGAAGGCAGTGTACAAGATGACACTGGATTTGTTAGACCACATATGACCTGCTGGAGGCCAAGGTATGGGGATTAGAAATGGAGCCATTGAAGAGTTTTAAGCAAGAAAATGACATGGTTTAATTTTCACTTAAATTCATCATTCTGTAGTTATGAAGAAAGTAAAGGCCTGGTGCATGAATTAGTGCACAGGTGGGGTCCCTTGGCGTGGCCTGCTGGGATTGGGCTGAAACCCGCAGTCCAATGCCACCTGTATCTCCTACCTGCCACTCTTGCTCATTTCGGACCCATTGTGCCTGCCACGGGCTCGCACCCAATCAGTCCCCTCCTGAGGGGAGTGGCCTGTGGGATCGGGCCGAAACCAGCTCTCCGACATCCCCCAAGGGGTCCAGGATTGCTAGAGGGCACAGGCCAGGACGAGAGACCCCACCAGTGCACATTTGGGTCTGGGGAGGGACCGCAGGAGGGCTCTAGGGCGTGTCTGGCCCCATTTCACCCAATTACGAATGGCCAGACCCCAGCAGCAAGCTAACCTACTGGTCGGAGCATCTGCCCCCTGGTGATCAGTGCACATCATACCGACTGGTCTACCAGTTGACTGTCTACCCCCTGGTAGTCAGTGCATGTCATAGTGAGCAGTTGAGTGGCCTTAGCGTATCATTAGCATATTACACTTTGGTTGATTGAATCGTCTACCAGTTAACTGGACGACTGGACACTTAGCATATTAGGCTTTTATTATATAGGATAGGGTTGGAGGAGGCCAAGAATGGACACCCGGAGACCATCAGGGAAGCTATTGCAATTAGAGTAGTTGAGAAGGGCAAACTTGGATAGGAAGGTTAGAAGATGGGTTTGCAATATGTTTTACAAGCAGAATTGATGTGATTTGGAGATGGATTAGAAATGAGTTGGGGGGGTGATCAGTGAAGGAAAAGGAAGTTGTGAAAATAACTGTACAATTCTAGCTTCAGAAATTGGGTGGATAGCGATGTCATTTCTTTAAAATGGGAAAACTTGAGGAATAAGCACGTATATGGGGAAAATCTTTATATCAGTTTTTTTTTTCAGTCAAGTTTCCATGAGCATAATTTCCATACAGTAAAATTCACTATTTTTGAGAAACATATAGTAGTGAAAACATCACCACAATCTCAAAAAATTCTCTGATGCCCTTTGTAATTAATCACCTCACTCTTACCCCATCTCCAGTGACCACTGACCTGTTTTCTGTTTCTATAGTTTTGTCTTTTTCAGAATGTCATATAAATTAAGGTAGACAATATGTAGCATTTTGTGTTTTGTTTCTCCCAGTTAGCATAATGCATCTGAGATTCATCGATGTGGTTGCACTGACCAGTAAATTAGACCTTTTATTGCTGAGTAGAATTTCTGGTGTAAATATAACAGTTTACTCACAAGAAGGACATTTGTATTGCTTCTAGTTTGGGGCAATTTTTATTTTATTTTAAAGTTTTTATTGATTTCAGAGAGAGGAAGGGAGAGGGAGAGAGAGATAGAAACATCAGTGAGAGAGAATCATTGATCAGCTGCCTCCTGCACACCCCCCACCCCACTGGGGGTGGAGTGTACAACCTGGGCATGTGTCCTGACCTGGAATCGAAACATGACCTCCTTGTTCATGGGTCGATGTTCAACTATTGAGCCACACTAGCTGGGCAGTTTTAAGCAATTTTGAAAAAATGCTGACATAAATATTTGCACACAGGTTCTTATGTGGACATGTTTGCATTTCTTTGGGTAAGTACCTAGAAGTGGGATGATGGATCATATGGTAAATTTATAAGAAAGTGCCAAACTGTTGTCTAAAGAGTTTTACTATTTTTCAATCCCACCAGCAATGTATGAGTTCCAGTTGCTCTTCATCCTTGCCAGAACGTGGTAATGTCAGATTTTTAAAAATTTTATTTTAGTCATCCTAATAGGTATATAATAGTATGTCATTATGATTTTAGTTTGAACTTCACTAATGACTAAAGCTATTGAATATGTTTTCATGTATTTATTTACCAGGTACATATTCACTTTGGTGAAATGTCTATTCATATCTGTAGCTCCTTTTTTTAAAAAAATGGTTATTTTCTTATTATTGATTTATGAGAGTTATTTACATATTTTGGATACTAGCCCTTCATTAGATATGTAGTTTGTATGTAAATATTTAAGCTCATTTTTTGACTTTTCATTTTCCTACCAGTATCTTTAAAAGAATAGAACTATTTAATTTTGATAAATTCAGTTGATCATTTTACCTCTTATGGTTTGTGCTTTTTGTGTTCTAGCTAAGAAATTTTTGACTAATCCAAATAAATATTTTTCTCCTGTTTTTTCTTCTTAAAGTTTTAAAATTTCAGATTTTACTTCTAGGTCTTTGATTCATTCATTTTCAGTTATTATTATTATTTTTTGTATATGGTATAAGGTAAAGGTTGAGGTTCTTTTTGTTTTTGGGTGTTTTTTGTTTTTTTAAATATAGATGTCCAATTGTTTTGACACATCATTTGTTGAAAAGTCAATTCTTTCACCATTGAATTAGCCTTTTATCTTTATGAAAAGTCAATTGGCCCTAACCGGGTAGCTCAGTTGGTTAGAGCCGTGGTCGGCAAACTGTGGCTCGCGAGCCACATACGGCTCTTTGGCCACAACCTCCCTATCCGCCCTGCTCTGTTCGTGACAGGGGAAGGTGCCCCAACCCCCTGATCAGCCTTGCTCTGTGCCTGATAGGGGGGAGCTCCCCCCCCCCACGGGCCCTGCTCTGTGTGTGATGGGGTAGAGCCATAACCTCCCCATCGGCCCTGCCCTGAGTGTGACAGTGGCGGCGCCCCAACACCCTGATCGGCCCTGCTCTGTGGGTGATAGAGGGCGGTGCCCCAACCCCCTGATGAGCCCTGCTCTGTGTGTGACAGGGTACAGAGCCCCAACCCCCCTGATGGGCCCTGCTCTGTGAGTGACAGGGGGCAGTGCCCCAACCCCCTGATTGGCCCTGCTCTGTGCGTGACCAAGGGTGGCGCCGCAACCTCCCCATTGACCCTGCCTTGAGTGTGACAGGGGACGGTGCCCCAACCCCCCAATCGGCCCTACCCTGAGCGTGACTGAGGGTGGCATCACAACCTCCCAATCTCCCTGCTCTGTGCATGACAGGGGGCGGCGCCCCAACTCCCCAATCGGCCCTGCTCTGAGCCCGACCAGGGGCTGCACCTAGGGATTGGGCCTGCCCTCTGCCACCCGGGAGCAGGCCTAAGCCAGCAGGTCGTTATCTCCCGAGGGGTCCCAGACTGCAAGAGGGCACAGGCTGGGCTGAGGGACCCCCCCCCCCCTCAAGTGCACACATTTTTGTGCACCAGGCCTCTAGTATATATATAATGTTTTCTGGATAATGCTCCCCTGACTTGATTGCTGTAGATTTATACTAATTATCAAAATCACTTCTAATCTAGGAGTGACTCCTCCTAGATTAGTTTTGAACATGAGAAGTTTCAGATCTCTTTGACATCAAAGTGACTAAAAAGTAAAAAATGCACTTGACATAAAAATATGGATTTCAAAAAAGAGCCCTGGACTAAGGCTGTCAGTGTAGAAATTGTTGGCCTATAGACTATATTTGAAGCTAAAGAAATCAATGAAATCACCTAGATAAAGACTGTAGAGAGTGAAAAGAGAACCTAGAACCAAACCCTGATAAATTCTTACATTTAAATGTTAATGGAATGGAGAGAAACCAAGAAATGAATATAAAAGGGATTGATAAATAAAACTGGAGAAAGCCCAAGAATATTTTGGCATCACAGAGACTACGAAAGAGGCAGTTCCAGAAGGAGAGAGTGGTCAGCCATACTGATAACTACTTAGAGGTTTAATTAGATGTTCATTAAATTAAGTGACAGAGTTATCACTGACAAAAATAGTTTTAATGAAATGGTGGGTATTAAAGCCAGATTAGCATGATATAAGGTGTAAATGGGAGGTTAGAAACTAGAGATAGCATATGTTAATAATTGTTACAAGAAGCTTGGCTGCAAAAGTGAGCATAAGAATAGAATGATTGCCCTTGCCAGTGTGTGGTTCAGTTGGTGGGAGTGTCATCCCACACACCAAAAAGTGGCAAGTTCAATTCCTGGTTAGGGCACATACCCAGGCTGTGGGTTCGATTCCCAGTTGGGGTGCATGTGGGAAACAACCAATCAAAGTATCTCTCTCACATTCATGTTTCTCCCTCCCCCCTCCTCCTCTCTTTTTCATTTTTAAAAAAGTCTTTATTGTTGAGATTATTATAGATGTCCCTCTTTCT